GGGGGGGGGGGGCAGAGGGGGAATTGGCTCACCTTAGAGGCTAAGGTTTAACCAATTTAATAGGGATTTAAGATCCCTATTAAATGCTGACATTGTTAGGCATGCCCAGTGCCCTGTGGTCTCAGTTTTTTTTGTTTTTTACTTGTTTTGTGTGGTTTTTTTAAAATATATCTTTATTGATTTCAGGAGAGGAAATGAGAGGGGGAGAGAGAGAGAGAGAGAGATAGAGATAGAAACATCAGTGATGAGAGAGTCGCCATTGATCGGCTGCCTCCTGCACGCCCCTGACTGGGGATCGAGCCCACAACCCGGACATGTGCCCTGACCAGGAATCAAACCCCAGTTGCCTGGATCCTAAGTCAAGGTTCAACCATTGAGCCTTGCCCGGCTGGGCTGTTTTTTGTTTTTTAAATATATCTTTATTAATTTCAGGGAGAGAGAGAGATAGAAACATCAATGATGAGAGAGTCGTCATCGATCGGCTGCCTCCTGCACGCCCCCGGCTGGGAATGGAGCCCGCAACCCGGGTATGTGCCCTGACCGGGAATCGAACCGTGATCTTCTGGATCCTAGGTCGATGCTCAACCGCTGAGCCACTCCCTACTGGGCGTGGTCTCAGTTTTGTACCCTGAAATTATTGGGTGTGGCTGAAGAAGCTGAGATGGAGGATGCAGCCATTCATTGTCCCATTTCCAGCCACCAACCCATTCCTCCTCCTTTTATCTTGCCTGTTACACTAGCAGAGGATCTCTGTTTCATGATTTTTCCCCCATGTCTGACCTACACACACACTAGAGATGGATGCCCCTGGGCTCCCAGGTTGCCTCCTTGGCCAAGACCACACTGCACGCTCAGGGGCACAGTAAGCCTTCAGTCTGAACAGCCATCTCTGACCTCATTCCCCATATTTCTCTTCTAATGAGGGACTGGGATATCCCTCTGCCCACTTCTTCACATGTTCCAGTTCAAGCCAATCTTCCTGGGCACTGTGGATCCACGAAGTGAGATGGCAGGCTTCCGACGTGTGGCCAACAGCCAGAAATGTGTGAGGGCTGGAGGACGCCACAACGACCTAGAGGATGTGGGCCGAGACCTTTCTCACCATACCTTCTTTGAGATGCTTGGCAATTGGGCATTTGGGGGTGAATATTTTAAGGTGAGTCTCCAGGAAGTCCTGAAGTTAGGAAAGGGTCCGCGGTCAACCAAGAAGGGCGTTAAGATTAATCCTCTCACCTCCTAGAGTTGGCCTAGGCAGACACATACCAGACGCAGAGGCAAAGTGCAGGATGTGTAATAGGAGTGTCTCATCTCCCGAATAGGATTGTAAGCTCCTTGATGGCCAGGACTGTGCCTCCTCCCTAATGACTGGTCAATGATTGTATGAATAAGTAGACAGCAATACTAAAATGCATGAGCTAAAAACCATCCCAGGCAAGAGTGGTTAGAGGATTTCATGGAGAAGGTAGGATTTGAAAGAAAGGCGGATTTAAAACAGGGACGAAGCTTTTCGGGCTGGAAAAACCTCAGAGGAGTGATCATGGCTTGTTTTAGAAACAGGGTGGAAACACAGTGGAAATGGTTTTGTCTTAAGCTGAGAGCTGAGCTCATGTGGCTTGATTGATGCTTCAGTGGGGCTTCTTACCCATCTTCCTCTTCCCTCCCCATGTGGGTTTCCACTGCAGGAGGAGGCTTGCAGCATGGCCTGGGAACTGCTGACTCGGGTGTATGGGATCCCCAAGGACAGGCTATGGGTCTCCTACTTTGGTGGTGACCCCAAGGCAGGGCTGGACCCAGACCTGGAGAGCAGGGACATCTGGCTCAGCTTAGGGTAAGCTCACCCTCCCTAATGTCCACTCCTGGAGGGCAGGAGGCCTGGAAAATAGAGACTACCAGCATGGCCCTCAGCATATCCCAGGAGACTGTGGGGTCAGTCCTGTTCCTCCTCTTGCTCAGCTTGATGGAGAGGCTCTCATGGCAGAGAGGGTCTAGCTTCTGGGTTTGTCTGTCTCCTCAGCACCCACCTGGCTTTCTTTCCAGGGTACCTGCCAGCCGTGTGCTTTCCTTTGGGCCACAGGAGAACTTCTGGGAGATGGGGGATACTGGCCCTTGTGGGCCCTGTACTGAGATCCACTATGACCTGGCTGGTGGGGTAGGAGCCCCCCAGCTAGTGGAGCTTTGGAATCTGGTCTTCATGCAGCACAACAGGTAATGGGATGCCAAAGCAGAAGGAGAATCCCTGCTGGAAGTGAGAAAGATAGCAGTCAGGAGACTGATCCATTTCTTTTAAAAACACACACTTAAATGGCACTTACTACGTGCTAGGCATGTTTCTAAACACTTCAAATAATAACTGATTTAATCCCAGTCTTTGCCCATAACAGTTTAAACTAGTCACTGCTGCCCTCTGGCCTCTGCTATCTTATCAAATGATGGAGTTAAACTTGATGATCTCTAAAATTTTCTTCCAGCCTTGACATGCCTCTTTCTAAGGGCAAAAAATTCTGTCCCATAAAGGGGATGTCTGGGTCCAGGCAGGGGCCCAAGGGTGGGATGAGGGCAGAGATCACCCTTTATGAGAAAGGACAGGACTTAAGACCATCACTGTCTGTGTTTGAGAGAGGGGTGGGGGGATTATACTGCCTCTAGTTCCTCCCTCTGTCAGACCTCTCCTAATTCCTCAACTCCGCTTGAGCATCTGCCTCACACCTGTAATCCTGTGCGGGGTCTTACCTTGCTCACCTTCCCTGGCCAGAGAGGCAAATGGAAGTCTGCAGCCCCTGCCCCAGCGGCACGTGGACACGGGAATGGGCCTGGAAAGGCTGGTAGCTGTGCTACAAGGCAGACGCTCCACCTACGACACGGACCTCTTTTCCCCGCTGCTCAGTGCTATACACCAGGTGAGCCTGCCTCTTCCCTTCCAGAAGCCTCTCTGGCCTGCTCATCACCAGTGCTTTTGGAAACTGGTCTTCATGTAACACAGCAGGTAATGGGGTGCTGAAGCAGGATGATACCCTGGCTGGAAGTGAAAAAGGGAGCAGCTAGGAGAGTGGTGGCAGCTATACTTCTAGGAGTTGGCTGACTGTCAGTTTGGGGCAGTGGAGGTGACCAGGCTATATGTCTGTCATCCTCCAGCAGGCTAGCTTGGACTTGTTCACATCACAACTCAGCAGGGTTCCAAGAAGGAGAGGAGAAGCACACAAGGCCTCTTGAGGCCTAGGCTCAGAACAATGTCATTTCCACCACATTCTGTTGACCAAAGCAAGTCGCAGGCTGGCCCAGATTCAAGAGATGGAGAAATAGATTCTCTCTCTTGATGGAAAGCAACTGTAAAGTCACATTGCTAAGTGTCATGCACACAGATAGGGAAGGATTGTGGCCATTTTTGCAAACAGTCTATCCCAGAGAGGAAAGCTAGAGTCCAGTCTTACAGAACTAGAAGTCCCAAGTAGGGCTTTTATTCTAATGTGGTGAGCAGGGCTTTAAGTGGGGAGGAGCATGATCTGACTGACACTTTTAAAAGACCACTCCTGTTGCTGTGTGGAGGATGGGCTGGAGGGAGATGAGTAGAAGCTGAGAAACCAACTGGGAGGCTGTTTTATACTCCAGGAAAGAGACGATAGGGCATGGCTTAGGCTAGCAGTAGCGGAAGTAGAGAAAAGTTGATTGATTTGAGAAATCTCATGGCGGTAGAAGCAAAGGCCCCACTGATGGATTGGATGGGGAGGGGAAAGAGAAGGCTGGCTCCCAAGTGTTTGACTTGAGCAATGAGTTGAACTGTAGGACTATTTGTTCAGAGGGGGCAGCTTCAGGAAGAGACAGGTCTGGAGCTGCATGAATCTAGCACTCTGCTCTGGAGCACATGTACACACAGCTTATACCGTCCCTGTCTGCCCCCCATAAAGCCTGTAGAGGCAGGTGTAATGGAGAGCTCCTGGAGTCAGGCAGGCCTGATTCAAAGCTCCAATCTGCTCCCAATGAGTTGTGTGGCACCTAGAGCCTCTGAGCCTTTGTTTCCTCTTAAAACGAGCATAGTAATACCTCCCAGAACAGGATGTTTTGGGGATTCGACATCATGTCATCCAAACACCCATACAGTTCTGATAGTAGAAGTTCAGTAAATGACCACACCTGTGATTATTGTTAGTATGAATGTGGGCCCCTTGTGGGCAGTGACGGACTCCCACTCATCTTTGAAGCATCTTCAGCCAGGCCATTCCGATGTAGTTGACGTTAGGGGTGATAAAGAGCATCCCACCTGGGCCAGGTCAGGCAGGGCCAGCAGCCATGTCTTCTCTCCTGCTTTCTAGGGTTGTGGGGCACCCCCTTACTTGGGCCGGGTAGGGGCAGCAGATGAAGGCCGCACAGATATGGCATACCGTGTGGTGGCTGATCACATTCGCACACTCAGTGTCTGCATCGCTGATGGCGTCTCCCCTGGAATGTCAGGCGCCCCGTGAGTCTGAAAGGACTGCGGAGAGGGGCAGGAGCAGCTGGGGCTTGCAGGGGAGAGGAGGGAGCAGATGAGAGGTGGGTCTGCTTGAGATGGCAGGAGGAGCTGGGGAAGGGAAAGGGCTTTAGGATGGGAGCACACACTGGACCTTGCCCTCCCCACTCCCCATACTGCTGACCAGGGGCTGGTAGGGGTTTATATCTGTCTCTGAACCCCTCTAGGCTGGTTCTTCGTCGGATCCTTCGTCGAGCCGTGCGGTTCTCTACAGAGGTGTTGCGGGCACCACCTGGCTTCCTTGGCAGCCTGGTACCGATAGTGGTGGAGATACTGGTAAGGACAGAGCTTCCTCACGCCTCTGGGCCTCCCTGGGCACTCACGGAGCCTGCCGCTGAGCCCAGGCAGTGCCCCCAGCCTGGGCTCGCCACCCTAAATGTCTACCCCAGTGTCCTATCAGAAGCTGAGAAAGGTGGACTTGCTTACAAAAAGCAGGGAGCCTTCAGGAGGCTTCCTTGCCCAGGCTGTTAAACATTTGACCTTGGAACCCCTTCTGCCTGTGCCCCACCCCACTGGGAAACTGATTCCCATTTGGGTCCCTCCCCTGTCCATCAGCCCTCTGAGCCTCCGGAACAGGTGTCCTCAAAGAGGCCCAGGGTGTGGAGGTGGAGAGCAGACTGGCTGTCTTTCACACCTCCTCAGCCCTCGTTACCTCCTCCAGGGAGACACTTACCCAGAACTGCAGAAGAACTCAGCCCAGGTACTGGATTCGGATGGGGAGGGACGGGCTGACAAGAGAGTAGTGGAGAGGCTCTCGCTGCAGTTCTGTCCCGCCCCTGGTTCAGATCGCTAACCTGGTGTCGGAGGACGAGGCAGCCTTCCTGGCCTCCCTGCAGCGGGGTCGGCGGATCATCGATCGGACTCTGAGGCGCCTGGGACCTTCTGATGTGTTCCCTGGTGAGTGGGGTGCCTTGCCAAGGCATGAGCCCCTCAGGAGAGCCAGGGCAGGTGGAGGAGGGAGCTCTGGGCCAGGCCTGTGCCTCACATGCACGCCCACCTCTCATGTCCCTCTCCCTATACTCTTTGCAACACCCACTTCTCTGTGGTGGGAACACCACCCTGCTTCTCCCCATTTCCCCACTTCCTCACTGCCCAGTTGGCCCTGCCTCAGTCTCTGTTTTCTAAGACTGGCTTTATGCCTAGAATGAGCTTCCCTCCTACTCTGAAATGACGGTTGCCAAGGGAGTACCCTGGGCTACCCTCAGCTCTGGTCTTGGAGCATGAAGCCTAAAGGTGATTCCTGTCCTGGGCCAACGCAGTGTGGGGAGAGGGCACTTGTGCTTGGCCCCTGGTGAGGTTAGAAAAGCCCTGGCCCTTCTCCCTCACTTCTCCCCATCCCCACCCCCATCTTGCCCCTCCC